AATGATTAACTGGAAACTAACTAAAACTATTTATGAAATAAATCAAAACTTAAATAGTAAAATAATGCATACAATTAGAAATGTTAAAAAAGTTTAAGTTAAACCACTAAAATTACTAACTGAAAAAAAACCTGAATTAAAACTAAAATTGAAATAAAAGAAAATACAATTTGAATAGCAAAATAAAGACAAAAGCACATAAAATACCAAAATTAAAATTAAAATATATAAAAGACAATATTAACAATTCCATTTTTTTTTATAAAACTTCAATAGCATATAATAATAAAATAACACTGTATATAAAATAATACTGTAAAATAATAAAGTACCATGAAACTTTATATACTGACTTAAATAGAGAGAGCAAAAATAAATAAATAATAGATATAAAAGGTGCTTTGGATAAAAACATCTGATACATTAATTAACATGTAAATGACAATATAAAACAATTACATAAAATGTATATAATAAAGGTAAATTAATATATTATTTATATATCAATATAGATTATATAATGCTATAACTAACAGTGCAGAGGTTGTTCAGTACCCACCCCATGTATTAAAGAGGCGGGACTTCCTGCAGAGATAAACAACTTCCTGCTGGCACTGTTCAGACCTGCCCACAAGTGTCCGCAGCTGTTCCAGAGACGTGCTGTAGTTGAATTTCATCACGTGGGGCTTCTGAAGCGACGACCCTTGAACCCTCACCATCTCCGTGCTATTGTGATTCACTACGGTCCAAACCTTATCATCTGGAAAATACGGAAAAAAAATCTGTTTTAAAAATCTGAGTTTTTTCCATATGCATTTCAGCACTAACTGAAAATACTATTTTTACAGTCAGCGCATTGTAGAATACAACGCACAACATGTATTAAGCAGCACATCACCCATCTTTTCCGTGCTGTCAAAGTCAATCCTTTACCATACTGAATGCGTAGCACTTCATACCTCCTCGGTTCATTCAATCGCAAAAGCGAGCTGTAATCCAGATAATAATGAACACAAACCTTAACGAGAAAAGAACACGACTTCAATTAGATTTCAAAAATAAAGCAGTGCAGCAAGTCTCCTCCAACCCAGACTTAAGGCCAATCTTTGCTACATCTCTGATGTCGGACAAGATCTGGGGGGGGTGATGGTCGCCGTGATTTTGCCAAGTAAGACATGTTCCTGGATCAACATCTTTTGTTGCTCCTGGATCAACATAACTGTCCAAAAATATAGACTTAACCCAATCCCTACCCCTAGACCTAACCCTACCCATAATTTATTCCTAAATACAGTGTGAAATAATAGCTGATTTACAAGGGTGTAGAAGCACGTAACCCTGATTGTAAGCCTAAAACAGCCTAAAACAACTCAATTCTGATTGGTTGATATGAATGTTGTTCCAGGATCAACAAGGATGTTGATCCAGGAACATGTTATACTTGGTGAAATCACGGTCACCGGGGGGTGGGGGGTGGTCGAATGTGTTTTCTCAGCCAGCAGGCACTTAAGTCCACGTGTGCCAAGCATACAGCAATTTACATTTCATGCGGCATTTCTAATTGGTTGGCCAAAGTCAATGGCACTTTATTCTAGAAGATCCCGAGCCAGTGGATATGTGTGTAAGAGAGTGACGCTTTATCACAATTCTGCAGGAGATGAGTAATATTTCACTGAATGAGCAGCGTGTATAACAGTCCAGCAAAACGGGCCTGGCCGCGGTTTCCCCCCTGGACAGACCCATCGTTCTGCACCCTGAGACCCCGACTGCCCTGGCAGACAGCCCAACATCCATCAGCGATTGGACAAGTTCAAGCTCTGATTAATGACTTCACATTGGTGTGGATTCAAACAGATTTCCCCTGGCCGAAAACTGCCTTCAACAACTCGCCAGCTATGTATCTTCAAAAACTCCAGAAAAAAAGTGAATCTGAAAAAATAATTCTGACAAGCTTTTTGACCAGAACATGGACGCTGAAGGTCAGATTCACCCTTGAGAGTTATTTGCTATTATTTATGTACCCTACATTGATGTTAACTTTGTTCTGTATTGGTCAGCTGTAGTTTCATATTATGATAATTATTAATTTGGTAAAACCTTACAATAAGTTTATATATGTTAACATTAGTTAATGCTACATTTAACATGAAATGGCAATCAACAATACTTCAACTTATGCTTTAAAATATTATTTTTTAAACATTTCAATGGACACATGGTGAACTTGGCCTTGGTGAACATAAGAGACTTTAACATTTCAAGTTGTATAAATTAACATGAATGAATTCTAAACAAACATGAATTTAACAGTAAACAATAATATATTTGTAAACTAGCATTTACCTATTGTTCAATGCTGTAAAATTACAGTAGTGTTCACTGTTGGTTAATAATAAATAAAGCATTAACAAACATTAGCAAATTTAACTTTATTGTAATATTCAATGAGTTTAAAACAAACAAAAAAGACAAAAATACTAATCTTAGATATTAAATAAAAGGTGGCAGGCTCAAACTTAGCTGTGAACGTGAAACTGCATTCACTGAAGAGTGAATGTTTTCTTAACACATGCAATTTGAGAAAACTGCATGTACAGTTTGTATGCAGCATGTCTATTTTTATCCCACACTTGCAGTATTCATGTTAACACTTATGTTTTATATCCCACAGAGGTCTCACCGGTTATGTTGCAGTAGATGACAGTGGATTTGAGCGGCCCGCTTCCATCAGGATCGATTGAGAAAAAGCCTGAGGCACTTCCTGTGAGCCGGTGGGCCCACATTGGTGTGGATTCAAACAGATTTCCCCTGGCCGAAAACTGCCTTCAACAACTCGCCAGCTATGTATCTTCAAAAACTCCAGAAAAAAAGTGAATCTGAAAAAATAATTCTGACAAGCTTTTTGACCAGAACATGGACAACAACTGAAGGTCAGATTCACCCTTGAGAGTTATTTGCTATTATTTATGTAGCCTACATTGATGTTAACTTTGTTCTGTATTGGTCAGCTGTAGTTTCATATTATGATGATTATTAATTTGGTAAAACCTTACAATAAGTTTATATATGTTAACATTAGTTAATGCTACATTTAACATGAAATGGCAATCAACAATACTTCAACTTATGCTTTAAAATATTATTTTTTAAACATTTCAATGGACACATGGTGAACTTGGCCTTGGTGAACATAAGAGACTTTAACATTTCAAGTTGTATAAATTAACATGAATGAATTCTAAACAAACATGAATTTAACAGTAAACAATAATATATTTGTAAACTAGCATTTACCTATTGTTCAATGCTGTAAAATTACAGTAGTGTTCACTGTTGGTTAATAATAAATAAAGCATTAACAAACATTAGCAAATTTAACTTTATTGTAATATTCAATGAGTTTAAAACAAACAAAAAAGACAAAAATACTAATCTTAGATATTAAATAAAAGGTGGCAGGCTCAAACTTAGCTGTGAACGTGAAACTGCATTCACTGAAGAGTGAATGTTTTCTTAACACATGCAATTTGAGAAAACTGCATGTACAGTTTGTATGCAGCATGTCTATTTTTATCCCACACTTGCAGTATTCATGTTAACACTTATGTTTTATATCCCACAGAGGTCTCACCGGTTATGTTGCAGTAGATGACAGTGGATTTGAGCGGCCCGCTTCCATCAGGATCGATTGAGAAAAAGCCTGAGGCACTTCCTGTGAGCCGGTGGGCCTCGCAGGAGGGTTCAAAGATGGCTGACCAGAAAAAACAGCAACAAAAAACCTCAAGTCAGCGCACGTTGAGTGTCATCAAAGGAGGAAACCTGTTTATTTATATGAATACATGTTTGGTTGTTTTGCATTTTTAAGCAGTATTATTAACTTCAAAAGAATTGAAAAAATAAACAAAGTTTAAAACAAAGGTTAAACATATTATTCATCAATGCCAAAACCCGAAAGCTTTGAAAGAGTTTGTAGCTACTTTCTCACAAAACAAACAAATAGTAATGTTTTTGTAATCGTTCTTGTCAACTCACAGTTATGACAGGTGGCTCCCGTGTATCCAGTTCCCGAACAGTCACAGAAAAACGTGTTCCAGGACTGAGAACATTCCCCATCATGCTCGCAGTAGTTAGGAAGACATCTGCAGGAAAAATAAGATTTCTGTTCAAACTTTAATGGTACTTACAGCAGAGTGGAAGATACATTATCAAATTACACAAACGCCACTCTGCGACATACGGTACAATACCGAACAATGATGCATTTTGTGCTCAGAGGGATTTAAGGACATGACATCAATCAATAACCACAAGTGACTATTAGGAAATAGATGAGCGAGGCTGAGAGCTCATGAAGGAGGCATCAATTTTGCAACAGACTGAACACGCACTCAAGGATGAGGACGCTGGACAAGTGATAAAAGATTGTGAATGTGATGAAGTAAAAGCCAAGAACTGAACTCTTTTGCTGTCTCTGTTGGGATGTGTCTTATTGTCAAGCCATATATCAACTATTAGCGACTCTTGAAATGATCAAGTTCTTGAAGTACATGCAATATCCTGCATTTTAATTGCATATGAGATGAAGTTTATCTACTGTTTTATCCCTCTCTCATCAACATGTAAACAATCTATATGCATATGATGCATTACTCATAAAAATCCCTTAATCAATCCTAAATGACAAACTAATCATTTCAGAAAGGAAATTAAATTCTGAAAGACAATAACACACAAGCGATTTAATGCAAAGCATATGCTAAATACCTGCATGTAAAAATGCTAATTAAAACTGTGACACGACTGAACTCCCTTGTTAAAATATAATTCAACAAAACCATCTGGGTATGTATTTAGCTCTAAAATTACGATCTCTTCTGAAGCGCCTCTTTGTCGACTGTTGAATGTGAAAGGTGTTAATGTTGTAATAGTTTCTGTCACTAGAAGAAAATTGAATAATTGAATCCACTAATCAAATGCTGTACAAAATATTAATACCTGCAGAGGTGTGGAAAAAATAATTTTAAAGAATCTTCCGATGCTTGATTGCTACTTTGATTCATTTAGAGTAGAGAGAGGGAACAAAAGACTAGGATAATGAGAAGAAGAAGAAAACACAGCTGTCAGACTCCATTGTGGCATAAATAACTCATATCCATGTAGCGTGTGATGAGGGAAGGGAGGAGAGAAATGACATCCGTCTTGCCTCATAGGTCGCAGGATTGCGGCCGTGTATGAAACTCAGCAGAGGTCAATTCTAAACCAGCGTGAGCTGATCTCAGCACTAACGGATGAACAGTGGAGGATGAAACCGGACTGAAGTTGAACCCCAAAATAGGTTGGTATTTTTTATATTAAATTGTATCTTTCGGCAGTTCGGGTTGTGAAAGCTGCAAGTCACCCTTGAGAACATTTTGACATATCCCAATGGTAACGCTTAATTTTCAACTCATAATTTAAAGGGGTCCTATTATGCTCTTTTACAAAGTCTTGATTTTGTTTTGGGGGTGTACTAGAACATGCTCTCATGCTTGGTGGTTCGAAAAACGCATTATTTTTCACATAATTTACATTATTAAGGTCCGCCTTCCGAAAAACAAAATGTGTTGTGATTGGTTAGCTGTCCCAGTGCGTTGTGATTGGCGAACAGCTTAGACGGTGTTTCAGTACTGCCACGCCCCTTGCTCCGTCTTTCAACAAAAGCTTTTGGCGAATCCGGCACTACTCACTCGTGATGTGGAAGCTGTCCTCAGTAAAATGCGCAGCACACAATAGCAAATTGGGGTTATAATGCTCAGGAACAGAGTTAAAAAATAAATTGCAACCACTGTTTCCTGACATCATCCGCTTTCGGAAACCCAAACAAAGACGTTTGAGCACGGAGGTGAAAAAAACAGCGTTTCAGGCGGTCACGCCACGTATTTATTGGTTTTCTCTTACGCACTAACTCTGCAGCAGCACTTCTTCTTCGTCGTCTCGTCTCATGCGCTCACTCAACCAAGCGTTCTAACTACAACCTCGCCCCTCCACACCCCCCAACTATTCGAATTTCTGTAGGCGGGAATTATTTGTAATGATATTCTAATGAGCCGCTTTGTCACAAAGCCCGGAAACCAAAAGCTGTAGTCCAAACGAGCCGTTTGTTGTAGTTCTTGAAAAGGGCTCAAAAGACTTTGAGATTTGTAACTTTCTAGATCTTTTTAATGCCCAAACATACACACTACACACTGACTAAAATTTAAAAAGTGAAAAAGCATAATAGGACCCCTTTAAGTAACCTTATTAACACTGAACTCTATTAAATTACTGCGTTAACTATCGGCGGGATTTTAGAACACTGTATTACTTACAACAGTAGCCCAAAACAATGTCATCCCTGAAACACATTGTTTCAGAGGCGTAACATTACAAAGACATAAAACCATTTTGTAAAAGAAACCAATGAATCGTGCACAATAAGTGTGATGAAGGAAGAGAGGACAGGAATAACAACCGTCTCACCACACTGGCTGCAAGATTGCGGACGTCTCTGAAACTCAGCAGAGGTTGATCTACACCATTGCCGGCTGATCTCAGCGCTAACCGACGAACAATATGGGATGAAACCTGACTGTGAAACACTGAAATGCATTTGAATACATCTTAATTGTGTCTTTTCTGCAAGGTTAAGCACAAAAGTACAAAGGACAATCTTTTGGGGTGAGGGAAAGTGCTTGGTACAGAAAGGTTAAAAGGAGCAAAATCTAAAGGGTCACGGATGGTAACTGAAGGATATCTAAAGTTCTGTGGTGCGAATCCTTATTCAGTCAGAGCGAGTGTGATTAAAGATTACCATTACTCCCTCATTATCATTTCATTCTGCTATGCATCTCATGAAGAGCAAGGCAACGTGGGTAGCATCACAAACGATTGCTACATATATTCGCCCACAAACCAGCTCCTCCCCATATGATAATTAAGGGGGGGGGGGGGTTGTTGGCAGGAGCTGAGGTGTCTTGGCCCAGTGGCCGCTGTCCAAATCTCTATTGATCTGTCTTGACTATCAAACTGCAGTCAGCTGGCGAGGACAGGGACTTCGGGCCTAGCCTTAGGTTAGACAGGGTGATAAAGAGACAATGAAAGTGGTGGAAAAAAAACAAGAGATAGCTAGATATAGAGCGTGAAAGGAATGCAGCTAGGGACAGGGGGAAAGTGTCTGAAGCATGCTAGTCTAGGTCTACACAAATGATTTAGGATGGTGATCAAAGGCTGTCAGAGAGGAGTACACCTTTTCGAAACTTATTCTAGAGGACAGCCAAAACAAACAACTGGCCTCGCTTATCTTCATTTACTCCAACTGATAGGCTTTACTGAAGCGAAAACAGGCATATCTTCTACAGCCTTGGTACTCAACAAGCTTCATGTGGCTTTTAATGATGTTGCATCTCGAAGGCTCATTTGTCCCTCAAATGATTCTTTATGTTTTTGTCCTTGGCTTGGCTAGACAGTCATAAGTCAACAGCGTTCAGGATCGTTGCAAGATGACGTGCCCCTACTCTGGGTGCTGCTTACAAACCAATCAAAATTAACCAAACTATGACAGTAATACTTTGGGTCTAACCTTTAAAAATAGCAACATCCATCACTAGGACATAAGAGGACATGGCAACCTATATCATTGGAAAAAGTGTAACAGTCAATAAGAGTCATAATAACTTGCGCACATGACATCAGCTTATGGGGGTGGTCATATTTAGTGTTGTTAGGCAAATTTTCATGGGAGAAATCCAGTAATCATGATAGAAACCTACACAATCAGGTATTTTCTGTGAGGACAAAACATTACCCCACATTTCCTCAAGTTTAAGTTGGTCACGAGATGACCAGCAGAAAGCTACTTGGTTTGAAAGTGACTTCTGTGTGAGCTATGCTTTATACATCGCTACACTATTGACAATAGACAATGGACCTTTTTTGCCCACATAATTTTTGGCAAAAGGTCTCTAATATGGCTACAGTCAGCCAGCATGTGCAGAGACAGTAAAAAATCAGTGGGAAGTCCCATTAATCTTATAATCCTTCTCTTATAGAACAAGCCTTTATATGTAGCAAGTTCTAAATATAACTTTCACCAAAATTACTATGTCAAGACAAATGTGTTGAAGACGCTGTCAGGCAGTCAATTTACAAAATGATGAGCTGTTTCAACACTAAAGCAGTTGAAGAATCTTCTCCAATGACTTTCATTCAAACAGAACTACCTCATCTGCCTGTCGAAATTACGCCCCTGTTACACCTTTTTGAGTTAACCTTGAAAGCTTCCCCTGCAGGAAAAGCTTGGATGATGTGCCCCTGCGCTGGATGCTGCTGGCTGACCGAGCAGAAATCACCATCAATGCAATATGCACCTATTGTGGATGCTGCTCAACCAACCATCAGAATTAACTACCACCCTGACATGCCCCTACTATGGATGCTCTCCAACCATTTAGAAATAACCATCACTACGGCATGCCCCTACTCTGGATGCTGCTCACCTACCCATCAGAATTTTCTAATGCCGTTTATTCAGCATACTGTGGCAACTCCTCCAATGACTTTCATTCAGTCAGAACTACCTATTATCTGCCTGTCAGGATCCTACACCATTCTGAGCTAACCTTCGAGGCTTCCCCTGCGGGAAGTGCTCTGGTGACATGCCCCCACTCTTATGTTTATTGACCAATTAGAAATCACAAGCGCTATACCACACCTATTCTACTGTACGGTATATGCTGCTCACCTACCCATCAGAATTAACTACCACCCTGGATCATCCATGGATCTTCGGCAACCCTTTAGAAATAATCATCACTAAGATGAATCCCTAAAACTGGATGCTGCTCATTAACCCATCAGAACTGACTTTCATTTTATCATTCCCCTACATTGGTTGCTGCTTACCAACTCACCAGAACTTTCCATTCCTCTGAGGTGCCTATACGTTTGATGCTGCTGATTATTTAATCAGAAAAGACCATGATTCCAACATGCCTCTTACTCAAAGAGCTGCTTACCAACCAATTACAATTAATCTTCGCTCTGACATGCAACCAGTATGGATGTCACTCACCAACCCATCAGAACTAACCCTCTTTCTGACATGCCTCTACTCTGAATGCCGGTCATCAACCCGTCAGAACTAACCATCACCCTGATGTGCCCCTACTCTGGGTGCTTCTCAACAACCCATCAAAATCGTTTTGGGTATTTCACTTTTAAGTGTCACAAAGCTATCAGTATATAGGACAAGTAGGATTAAGATAGCTAGCCTAAGCTAAATTCTGAACACTCAACAAACTTTTCTGTCAAACAGTATAAGAAAGTAATCTCACAATTTAAAAGGTCCAAATTTGGTATTAAATCAAGGTCCCAACGTAGCTAAGCTTGCGTACAACTGCTTAACTAAATTAAGTCAAAGAGAAGAAACCTTAAATCTAATGTTTTACAACATATTTTAGAATTCAACAGCTGCTACCATGAAGGCCAAGTTGGTTTCTTGTAAGCAATTAAACTTGCCACAACACAATTTTGGCCTGTTTTAGTTCTGAGGTGATGGTTGGTCAAAAGAACATTTCAAATTTTGTTTGACCAGGGCACATCAGTCTGAATGGGTTGTGGATGCATGCCTGGAACTACCTTTCCCCCCTGGAACATTCACAGCATGTTGGCAAAGCTAAAATCACAATTCATCCCCACGCCGGCCCTGCCAACAGTCATTTGCCCAGGTGCCAGGTCTGAGCATTTGCTCGGTGAAGAATGTGGCATACGTTGCCAGAAAGACCTGCAGAGACGAGATTGACAGCAGAGAATGTACGATCTCACCCCCTCTCCTTTTCCCTGGCTAGCGTTCACTTTCAGTAATGCTCTTTTCCAAACCCGGCAATCTGTCTTTTCTCCCCTAACTATCTTTCTCTTTGTCCAATGCTGTAACCTAACCTGACTTGCTAGATGGCTTTATTTCTATTTTTTGACTTTCACTGTCCAATGCTCTTATCCTAAGTTAACTAGCTAATTTTTTCTTTACTTTCTTTCTTTCTTACTTTCTTTCTTTCAACCACTTCATCCATCCATCCATCCATCCATTCTTCATTCATTTACCCTCTTTCTTTCTTTCGACCCCTTCATCCATCCATCCATCCCTCATTCATTTACTATCTTTCTTTCAACCCCTTCATCCATTCTTCACTCATTTACCATATTTCTTTCTTTCTTTCAACCCCTTCATCCATACATCCTTCATTCATTAATTTACGCTCTTTCTTTCTTTCTTTCTTTCTTTCTTTCTTTCTTTCTTTCTTTCTTTCAACCCATCCATCCATCTTTCTTTCTTTCAACCCCTTCATTCATCCATCCATCCTTCATTCATTTACCCTCTTTCTTTCTTTCTTTCTTTCTTTCTTTCTTTCTTTCTTTTTAACAATCCATCAATCAATTATTTTTCTTCCTTCCATCATTTCATCCTTCCTTCATTAATTTATCCATTGCCACTTCCTTTTCTTTCTTCCTTCCTTGTTTCATCCCTCCATCCTTCAGTACATTAGCTTTTCTATCTGTCTCTCTTTCTTCCTCTTTGTCTAATGCTCCTACCCTAACCTGAATGGCTTCCCCCACCATCCAAACGCTCTTATCCTCACCTGCCTAGCATTCTCTCTCTCTTTCTCTGTCATTCTGCTTCATTTTTATTTCTCCCTGTTTATCTCCCACTTGTGTGTGCCATAAAGTAGACCACGGAAAACAGGCCAGGATGCTAAAGGATGGAGGATAATGGAGGAACTGTCTCATCTGCTCATTCCCTCTATTCATTTAAATATGTCATTATATTGTTCACAGTGCAAGCAACAGTGTAGTGCACTTTGGTGTCATTTGCACAATGCTCACATCACGCATGCAGTGAAGTGATGCATTGCCCAAATCGTACTCTTCAAAGCCGTTTTCCTTTTAAACTCTGATCTTGGGTCTCCCAGCTTGCTAATTACTTCTAATTTATTGCACTCTTTTTTAAACACTGAACAAACGTGTTACAAAGGTTGTGTCCTTGTCTGACGCTGCAGCTTTAAACTTTGCCCACGGCTTTTGCACTCACACAGAATACACTCATTAAACAAACTTCAGCTGTATGAAGTTCGATTTTTAGCCACATAAACATTGCATTAAACATCAATCCTCTTGGGCGAGGTGTGAAACAAATTTGCACATTTGAAGTTTCAGGCAAAAAAGGTGAATCCCAATTAGCTTACAAAATCACTGGCATGGATTTTACCACTACGCTATGTTGTTTTGAAACTGTGCTTGTTTGTGTCGCTCATTATCTTATAATGAGTGAATCACAATAATTTATTGAAAAAAATACTCGTCATTAGCATTTCAAACAGAATGACTAATAGATATACCTGTCACGAATGCCACAGATGTCAAACTGGAGCTTGCTGTAGTTTCCCAGCAGGCCTTGCTGCACCAGGTAGAGGTTGATTGGCTGGTTGTTAATGATAACAGAGCGCATGCAGCCTTGATATGCCAGTGTCGGATTCCGACAACCCTGATTGGTTAACACTGATGGGCAACCTGTTAAAAATATTTACAACAGAAATAATAGATAATAAATCTCAATAATGTGGCAGTGTAACCAGGGTCACTGTAGTTAACAAAAACTAAAAACACAATTGTCGTTACGTGAAGAGTGCTTTAACTGTAATACCATAAAATATAAAAACAAACTTATTTCAGCTACTTGCCAAGGAAGCATTTTACATTTTCATTTAATGTAACTTGATGTACTAATATAAGAAGATAAAACTGAAATAAATGTATTAAAAACTATATAGACATAACAAAACACAAAACAAAATTACTAAATTACCTAAATTAATCATTGTTATTAACTAAAATGTATATGAAATCATGAAATGTAAAATAAAAAAAATATACAAATAAAATCTAATTCAAAATATTAATAAAATACATATAAGTATCTCACTGATACAAAAATGAAAGTGTGTAAGAAATGTAAATAAAATCATATAAATGAAAAGGCACGCATTTGTTGTTAAAAGCAATACATTTAAAACTAAAAGTAAAGTTTTATCTTTTCACTAATTACATTTTGTCTATATATTTAGTTTTGACTATTAGCTCTTTCAGTCATAATAAGTGTAGTCTCAGCATCAGACATAACGCACATGGACCATTGGCTGAACGACTGATGCATATGGCATACAAAATTCAAAATACTTTCAAAGTCATCATCAAATTGGTTTAAATAAACAGAATTCCTGAGAGACGTGTGTGCCACGTTCTTTAGCGTTACGCCTGGAAATAAAGATGCTGTGATGATGTGTTTACAACTGTGACAATGGGCACTTATCAGGATCAACTAAATGCTGGATTTTCAAAAGTATATGAAATATGTAAAGTTCATGGCATAGACTCTTTAAAATACGTCCAAGAATTTTACACACTGGTCTGTTATTGTGGGGATATTTCCACGCCCCTAAACATGATGCGGCACAAAACAAAACATGACTGGCCATTCAAAGTGACCAAGGTTCCCAGACCTTCTGCTGTCAGTCTGAGAGTCTGGCCACGCGAGACTATAATAAGTATGGTACAAACTTTATGGTAAAATTTGTAGTAATTCTTTAGAAATATTAGCTCAGAACGCAGCCTGATATCATCTGCTTTAAGAAATATAAATCTCACAAAACAGGGCCACAATCCACCTCAAAAATATTATTATTTTTTCAAATGTAATCATATTTTAGGACCATTACAAAGGTTTCTTTTGTGAAAGTTTGATTCTCATTATTGTAATGCAGTAATTTAATGTTATTATTTAGCACTCATCTATTGCTGATTTTGTATTTTTATCTATTCATTTATTTATTTATTTGCATGAAAATGATCTCTCAGTGTAAAATATCTTACTGGTCCTAAAGTAATGTAGTCTTAATTTTTGCATACCATTTCATATTTCTTTCTTTTCATTTTGGGGTGAAATGTGTATATTCTTCACAATAAAGCATCCAGTAATCCATGATAAAGCTTGCATGATAAAGAACCAAAAGACGGGGATTTTGTAATTATAGCCCACATAATTCCGTTGTACATATTTTATTAGTCAAAGCTTTGAATTGTAAAACTGAAGGGTTAGTTTGTTTCTTTAAATCCACTAGCACCCTACCTCCAATTAGCACGCTCCTCTCAGGCTGTACGATGTCCTTGAGCTGCATGGTGGATGGTGGCTCGTCATCCACCGAGAGGGAAACCTGGAAACCTCCCACGCTAATGGACACCGTGTGCCATTGGCCGTCACTCAGAGCCTGACCTGGCAGAGGAAGACATGGAGCAATGTTACGCCTCAAATGCTGCACATTAATCAGGGCGAATGATTGACAGATTTGGGGTTTGTGCGCTGGAGCTCAACGAGTTAATCTGCATATGTCAGCCCGGCAGAGAATCCACTATTCCCTTGAGAGGGACGTGCAGAGATTCAGTTTGCCGTCTGCAATGGCAGCTTGCCAGGCAGCCGCATCCAAAATTCAGTCGACATACAGGTGTGTCTGCCAAAGAGTGTTTTACAACTAAAAATCCTGTTTGAATTCTTGGTAAACGCTTTTAGGGTGAATGTGTGCATGTGGGATAGGATTTTGTTCATGTTGTTGTGTGGCAGAGATGCAAAATGTGAAGACAAGCGCATAACCTTGTATATTTATCCCTTGGAGGGTCTTCCCTTTCACATCTGTTGTTCTTAATTTAAGCTAATTATAACTAGACTAAAGGAGCATTTGTATCGACGGTGGTTTGCAGCGACAAAACAACCAGTTTATTTTTTGCATATAAGAGTTGGCATATTTGAGATTAAATAATAATAATAGCTGTTGTTGTTATTATAATATTTATAACAATAATTATATTATTGTTAAAAAAAACTATTATTTAAACAAATGAATAAAATAATAACAGCAAGTGTTATATTTTTAATAGCTGTTGTTATAAATACAATAATAAAATATTATTGTCAATAACAAATTATTATCATCATCATCATCATCATCATTATTATCATTAAGAAGAAAATATATTTCCCCTTCAGTCAGTCACTTTCAAAGTTACATAGATACTGATGTATGGGGTTTCCCTTGGGAGCCCCAATAATCTCTGAGTAGTAAAAAACAGGCTTATGAACATTGATGAGTGGAATTTGCATGGCCAGCCACTCCCCTGTACACACAGGTATATGTTTTTTTTTGCTTCGCAACCAAACCGTTGCTGCAATACGTGCTTCTCGTTTTCTACAATCACCTGCGCAAAATTCTCTTCGTTGGACACTTCTGTTTATGGCACATTCAGCAGTGTTTCGCCAGTAATAGCATGGTTAAGTGCTGTGACCCCCCTGAGCAGTTTCCCTTATAGAGCTACATGGACAAGAGCATCTTTTTAAAGATGTCTCTTCGTCCGTGCTTTTCTGGATGTGGTCATTTCCTGACACCCTCTGACGGCTACGATCGATGTCTCACGTGTCTGGGCCGTAAACATTCTGAGACTTTGTTTGTGGATGGTTAAAGAGGCCAGCATGCATCTGCTCATTCAGATTTTTGCTTCGCAACCAAACCGTTGCTGCAATACGTGCTTCTCGTTTTCTACAATCACCTGCGCAAAATTCTCTTCGTTGGACACTTCTGTTTATGGCACATTCAGCAGTGTTTCGCCAGTAATAGCATGGTTAAGTGCTGTGACCCCCCTAAGCAGTTTCCCTTATTGAGCTACATGGACAAGAGCATCTTTTTAAAGATGTCTCTTCGTCCGTGCTTTTCTGGATGTGGTCATTTCCTGACACCCTCTGACGGCTACGATCGATGTCTCACGTGTCTGGGCCGTAAACATTCTGAGACTTTGTTTGTGGATGGTTAATGCCCTCATTGTGAGCACATGTCCATGGCAACTTTGAGATCGTTACTCTGCCTCCTTGTGAGGGTGGAAGTCCCCTTAGCTGCTCCCTGGCCTGGGACTTCTTGGAAGCAGATGTCCTCGCTGGTTAGCACTCAGGGAGATCTGAGGGTTACAGTGGGAGCTCTTCCACCAGGCCAGTCCACACGGACCTCCCACTCCTTTACGGTATTACGTGCCGTTGAGCTTCCGAAGAAGATTGCTGAGCCACCTCGCAGCTGTCCGACAGTTTTGTTTGGAGCTCCAGAGGAGGATCAGATATCGATCACGGCATCGGAGGGATCAGGCGCTTCGGAGGATGAGGACTCTGCTGAGCTTCCTCCTTATGGAAGGACTGCAAAGTCAGAGTCTGACTCTGAACTGTCTGCTATGCTTTTCCGGGCAGTCGAGAACATTGGGCTTGAGTGGAAGCCTCCACCCAATCCAGAGCGTTCTCAGCTGGACGATTGGTTCCAGGGCACGGGACGCGACTCGCAGCCGCAACCCGCCTCAGTGCTATTTTTCCTGGAAGTGCATGAAGAGGTCACAAAATCACCTTTCTCTGCCCGAAGCTGCTTTGCTGCCTCCTCCTCCCTTACTACCCGCGATGGTGGGCCTGTCTTTAAAATTCGAACACATTATTTTTTATGAGTGTATGCACATCGTTCTCTTTTCTTGGAAGCAGATGTCCTCGCTGGTTAGCACTCAGGGAGATCTGAGGGTTACAGTGGGAGCTCTTCCACCAGGCCAGTCCACACGGACCTCCCACTCCTTTACGGTATTACGTGCCATTGAGCTTCCGAAGAAGATTGCTGAGCCACCTCGCAGCTGTCCGACAGTTTTGTTTGGGGCTCCAGAGGAGGATCAGATATCGATCACGGCATCGGAGGGATCAGGCGCTTCGGAGGATGAGGACTCTGCTGAGCTTCCTCCTTATGGAAGGACTGCAAAGTCAGAGTCTGACTCTGAACTGTCTGCTATGCTTTTCCGGGCAGTCGAGAACATTGGGCTTGAGTGGAAGCCTCCACCCAATCCAGAGCGTTCTCAGCTGGACGATTGGTTCCAGGGCACGGGACGCGACTCGCAGCCGCAACCCGCCTCAGTGCTATTTTTCCTGGAAGTGCATGAAGAGGTCACAAAATCACCTTTCTCTGCCCGAAGCTGCTTTGCTGCCTCCTCCTCCCTTACTACCCGCGATGGTGGGCCTGTCTTTAAAATTCGAACACATTATTTTTTATGAGTGTATGCACATCGTTCTCTGTACGAATTGTTCTAGATGCGGCACGGTGCTGCTCTTCTCATCCGGTGCGACTAAGGTGACTAAGGTCAAGGCCCTTGACCAGACGATGGCCACCTTAGTGGCCTCTAATCTCTGGATCAGCCTTGCTGAGATGAGGGACACCGACAAGGCTTGCTTTCTTGACGCCCCCATCTCACAGGATCCAGAAGCAGACTGAGGCCATCAATCACATCTTGCCCCGGCGTGATACTACTGCCACAAAGCTGCCACGGGTTGGCTTCCAGTCTGCTCGTTGTCGAGGGCATCCCCCTGTGGCGTCTACATCTGCTCCAGTGCAGGCTGTCGTGACACCTCAGCTAAAATGTCGAGCCACCTGCCAGGACCCTTGCACTGCTGTGTCCTGTTTGCGCCATGCGTGTTTACGTGGACCGCACTTGAGCTTTAGAAGTTCTGAGCAGCTCTTTGTCTGCTTCGGAGGGCAGCAGAAGGGGAAGGCTGTCTCCAAACAGAGGTTGTCCCACTGGCTAGTGGATGCCATCACCTTGGCATACTAAACACAAGGTGAGTTGTGCCCCTAGGAGTAGGGCTCACTCGGTTCGGAGTGTGGCCTCCTCCTGGGCACTGCCGCATGGCACCTCTCTAGCAGACATCTATAGACCCACAGGCTGGGTGCCACCTTATACCTACCAGACGATGGCCACCTTAGTGGCCTCTAATCTCTGGATCAGCCTTGCTGAGATGAGGGACACCGACAAGGCTCGCTTTCTTGACGCCCCCATCTCACAGGATCCAGAAGCAGACTGAGGCCATCAATCACATCTTGCCCCGGCGTGATACTACTGCCACAAAGCTGCCACGGGTTGGCTTCCAGTCTGCTCGTTGTCGAGGGCATCCCCTGTGGCGTCTACATCTGCTCCAGTGCAGGCTGTCGTGACACCTGAGCTAAAATGTCGAGCCACCTGCCAGGACCCTTGCACTGCTGTGTCCTGTTTGCGCCATGCGTGTTTACGTGGACCGCACTTGAGCTTTAGAAATTCTGAGCAGCTCTTTGTCTGCTTCGGAGGGCAGCAGAAGGGGAAGGCTGTCTCCAAACAGAGGTTGTCCCACTGGCTAGTGGATGCCATCACCTTGGCATACTAAACACAAGGTGAGTTGTTTCCCCTAGGAGTAGGGCTCACTCGGTTCGGAGTGTGGCCTCCTCCTGGGCACTGCCGCATGGCATGTTTTTGAAATATTATGATTCAAATTACATTATTTTGTGTTAAGGTTGTATGTTCAAACCCCAAAAGGTGAGCTCCAGAAAGATACACGTACACAAGTAGACGTCTCACCGATGACTATATCAGAGCTTTGCAACGCTGATCTGTGGTGTGTGAGTCTAAGCTGCCCATGAACGAGAAGCAAAAGCAGTCTCTCTGAATCTCTCCTCAGCCAGGCCGAAAGTAACATCCCTTCTTGGTTCCATGTCCGGAACTGGAACGTCACCGACAGCGTTTCCGTGGCAGCATCCAATGGAAGTGACAGGAAACTGCTGCTAGAGCTCAAGAAGGTGGCGGATACCTTGTTTTTGACATATTATGATTCAAATTACATTATTTTGTGTTAAGGTTGTATGTTCAAACCCCAAAAGGTGAGCTCCAGAAAGATACACGTACACAAGGAGACGTCTCACCGATGACTATATCAGAGCTTTGCAACGCTGATCTGTGGTGTGTGAGTCTAAGCTGCCCATGAACGAGAAGCAAAAGCAGTCTCTCTGAATCTCTCCTCAGCCAGGCCGAAAGTAACATCCCTTCCTGGTTCCATGTCCGGAACTGGAACGTCACCGACAGCGTTTCCGTGGCAGCATCCAATGGTATTATTATATTGTAATTTTATAATAATAATAATAATAATAGTAATAGTTTTTAGATAATATATTTTAAATTAAAGTCAGTAGCAAAGTGTATTTGCATTCCTATTTTACTTCCAAAAATAAATAAATAAATAACTTTTTTTTTTGTTTTAAAGCAGAAACCATAATAAAGTCTGATTTATTCATGACTGATCTTTTTTACAAAACAAGATAGAAACAATTTGGAAACAAACATATTAAGTTAGAAAAAATTATTTCATTTTGTGAATAACATATATTCTATGAAAACAAAGCTTCTCAAGTAAATGCAAAAATCTTTATTTTTTTTATTTTTTTATTTTTTTTGCCATGTCAAAAGTCTGTCCTAGTCGAATCAAACAGGTTAGGATACATTCAAATGCAATATAACAGACATTAAAAAGTCCTAGACCTTTTGACCCTAGTAATCCCAGGCACAGAGTATCACACATACGCTCTGAAGTCCCACTACGATCATGCTAGTCGCTCAAGAGACACCATGCCTCATTGGCTGGCTCTAATTGGGCTCCAAAGGCCCCTTAGGAGCCTGTATATTTGCCTCGCTGAAAATTTACTGCATAATTGAGAGCGAGTGGAGGTGTCTGCTGTGAAAATCTCCCACTGAACTCCCTCCCGGTCCATTAAATGATGCAATATCCAGCATGTGGGCCAGATTAATGGCTGCAGTGATTAGTTGTGCTCTGGTGTAGTCCACTGCACTGATGTGACGTGATATAACAGCCGACGACAAGCTATTACACATGATCACAGTGGGGAAACGGGTGCTAACAATATGAGACTATGAGAATGGGAACTCACAAAAGTTGCTTGATTCAGAGGACTGTGTTTCCTCGAGCCTCAGAACTGGGAAAATGTAGAAAAATAAAGCAGGACTGTGGATGTATATTCCAGTACTGTATCATAAAAAAATACTGTCATTATTAGGGATTTACACCCAAATATTCATACTAAAATAGCTGCTTAAAAATAGCCCATCCATCCATCCATCTATTATATAGTGGTTCAGTACAGAACCACTTCAACTCTGTGATGTTGGTGGGTTTTCCTCATATGAACTGCTTGCTTCAGGTCATTCCACAACATTTCAATTGGATTAAGGTCCGGACTTTGACTTTGACCATTCCAAAACATTAAATTTGTTCTTCTTTAACCATTCTTTGGTAGAATGACTTGTGTGCTTGGGGTCGTTGTCTTGCTGTAAGACCCACTTTCTATTGAGATTCAGTTATCAGACAGATGTCCTGACATTTTCCTCTAAGATTTTCTGGTATAATTCAGAATTCATTGTTCCATCGATATGATGGCAAACCGTGCTAGCCCAGATGCAGCTAAACAGGCCCAAACCATGATACTACCACCACCATGTTTCACAGATGGTATAAGGTTCTTAAGCAGGAATGCAATGTTTTTCTTTGTCCAAACATATTGCTTCTCATTTAAACTAAAAAATTCCATTTTGGTCTCATCTATCGATTAAACCTTTCTCCAGTAGTCCTCTGGTTTGTCCACATGATCTTTAGCAAACTGCAGACGGGCAGCAATGTTATTTTTGGAGAGCAGTGGCTTTCTCCTTGCAACTCTGCCATGAACATCATTGTGGTTCAGTGTTCTCCTGATGGTGGACTCATGAACATTAACATCAGCCAATGTGAGAAAGGCCTTTAGTTGCTTAGACGCTACCCTGGGTAGGGTAACAGTGGTCTTGAATTTCCTCCATTTGTACACATTTTGTCTGACTGTGGATTTTTGGATTCCAAACTCATAAGAGATGGTTTTGTAACCTATTCCAGCCTGATGAGCAACAACAGCTCTATTTTTGAGATCCTCAGAGATCTCCTTTGTTCGTGCCACGATTCACTTCCACAAACATGATCAGACTTTGAAAACAGGGCATGCACTGACACCTGATAGTCATCCCACTGTTTGAAAACACCTCTGAACAGATAGACTCTAACTTCACCTTAAAATTAACTGCTAGTCCTAGCAGTCTACAAGGTCATATATCTTGCTCTAAGTTTCTATATCCATCTAGTTCCATATCCATCTATATCTTATATGCCCATCTTCATCTATCTAATGCTATATCTGTCAGGTTATGTCTATCCATCAAAAGGTCCTTTCGCACTGCGGGAACCTTTTCATAGTACCAGAACTACCCACTTTTTGGCATTTTCGCACAGCCGGAACTGGGTGCGATTTTAGTACCGGACTGCCTTTTTCGAGAACCAAATTAGCTCCTACTCCAGAGCAGGGTCTAACCAGTACAACTGGGACTAATCGTGACGTAAGTAGACATTGATTGGCCAAACGCGTACGGAAACGCCTTCACCCGCCATGATTTAAAATGCCGTGTAAACATAATGTAAACATTGTGTCAACTTATTTCACAAGTATGGAGAACAGCGATAGATGGACGGACGCTGAAGTGCAGGCACTTGTAGCAAATATAGCACTGCCAGTTGTCGTTGGAGATTCTTAGTCCTCCTTTCTGTTCTTTCAATCGCTTTACGTATGCGTCGACTTTCCATGTCCATTATTGTGAAACCTGCGAGACACAACAAAAACACAGCTCCGATCACAGCGTCCTCCATCCTCCTGTTGTTAATGTTGTTCTTCTTTGTTTCTGTTGTTGAACGCCGAGCACAAATGACGACGCTGCCGACCGGCTTACGTCACTTCTTAGTACACACTCTCGGTGCGAATGCAACCCTTTAAATAGTACTGGGAAATAGTTCGCGCAAAATCGTCCCAGTACTTTAGAACTGTACATTTAGTTCTGGAACTAAAGCGGTGCGAAAGGCCCTTATATCAATCTAGTTTCATATCCATCTAGTTCTCTATCCATCCACATCCATCAAGTTCTCTATCCATCTTTATCTATCCAGTTCTTTATCAACCTAGTTCTATATCTATATACATCTATCAGGTTATATCCATCCATCCATCCCTTATTCCATACCCATCTAGTTCGCCATCAATCCATCCATCCATTTCTCTGTCTATCCATTCATATCCATCCATCCATCTAGGTACCCATCCATCCATCCATACATGCATACATATCCATTTAGGTATACATTTATCCATCCATCCATCCATATCCATCTAGGTACCCATCCATCCATTCATATCCATCTAGGTATCAATCTAGGCATCAATCCATCCATCATCTCTCATAGCGGGAAACGTGTCCAATCATTGGCCAAGCGATTGGGCGCTTGAGGTGTTACGCTCTTAACTAATCAAAATTACATGATTAAGGTCACTCTTAAGTTTCCACTCTTTAAACCAACATGTTACAGGTACACAAGCTATTATGTTGGTCCAATCAACAATCTACAGCATTTTATGCACTGTTTTTGGGACATATAAAAAATAGTAAACAGTAAATATTAGAATTAAAATTATTATTATTACTTGTAAAGCATAATTCATACAATTATTTTCAAAGTGCAACAATATAAACAACAAAAATATTTTTTGCAATTATTTTTATTATGTTACTTGCATATAGTGCATTTCATAAAATTCTCGGTAACACTTTATTTTAAGGTGTCCTTGTTACACGTTACATGTACTTACTATTATAATAACAAATAATTATGCATAGTTACATGCAAAAACCAAACCAAAATCCCAACCCTAACCATATATTAAGTACATGTAGTTAATTAATATTACTCAGTACTTATATGTATAATTACACTGTAACAAGGACACCTTAAAATAAAGTGTAACCAAATTCTCTTCTAAATGCAACAGTATAAACAACAAAATCTATTATTATTATTATTATTGTTGTTGTTGTTACTTGCATAGCGCATTTCATTTAATTATCTTCTAAATGCAACAATATAAACAACAAAAATTTATTATTATTATTATTATGTTACTTGCATATCGTATTTCATAAAATTATTTTCATTTGCTGCACTTCGTTAAAATATAAAATAATATTATAAATAGTAATTCACTTCAATGCACTTCAAAGTTTAGCTTAAAAAATGTTTGTGTACTTTCGATAGTTGACCTTAAAGAAAAAATTAAAACTGCAAATGCCTGCATTAGCACCCCCCCTGTGGCAACACTGAGAATGCAACACACTGTGTTACAAATATCTCCCACGATTCTGAACATGCAAATGCATCAAATCAAGCTTTTTCAAAGCATTTGTGGCCACAATCTTGCACAGAGTACGTTTCAGGTCTTTGGTTTTGAGTTTAAAAGGCTATAGAGAGAACTCTCACTCACCCAGGTTGATATGCAGGGCCAGTCGGCCCTTATGCAGCTCTAGGGTGATGTAATCACCTCTTTGTCCCTCTCCATGCACAAGGACCCCATCCCCGCGCTGGCTCTTAAACCGTAGAGAGATGACGTCTTTCACAGTGCTGGTGGACTTCTGATTAAACCGGTACAGCAAAGAGCTCCTGCCGTTGAAATCTGCAACATCCGACTCTAAGAAGTGGAAGGGGAAAAAAAATTCCCCATAAATATTAAACAAGAAAAAAAAAATTTACCTATTCTTAAAGGGGGTCATATGATGCGATTTCAAGTTTTCCTTTCTCTTTGGAGTGTTACAAGCTGATTGTGCATAGATAAGATCCCTGAAGTTGCAAAGACTAAAGTCTCAAAACCCTCACATACTGTATCTACCTCACTATGTGGGAATATTTGCATAATGCGCCTAAATGTGCACGCAAAGAAAGAAGGCGTGGTTTCAGTAACCGCAGTTAGTGTTGAAGCAGCCATGTCAGTACATAACCATTTTTGAGACGTTTTTGTGCTTTTATACTTTTTAGTTTTTTTATTTTTCTATTTCTATTTAGGTTTATTATTTTCAGTTTTGCTAATTTTAGCCCTCCAACTTGCTTTTTTTCAGTTTTCATCAGTTTATTTTTTCTTCTATTTTAGATTTAGATCTTATTTTTATTTTAATTAGATCAATCTTATTTAACAATACCAACACTTACACAGGTGCACCTAAATACCATTTACATCATGGTACTAAATGAAACCAAATTAAAATGTTCTCAGAAGCAAACATTTTATCAGTTGCTAATTTTACAGCATCTTTATAATGGGCAACCTTAGAAAGAAAATTATCAAACGGTCTCTTTTTCAACACATATTCTCAAAACGAGCCATAAATAGCTTAGGAAAGGTGTGCCTTGTGCTGTCTCCTCTGTTTGATCCTTCTGAACTTCCTGGAAAGAAACCTGCTGTATTGATGATAAAAGAACAGAAAGAACAGCCAATCTTGACAAAGTGAGAGAAGCCTGTCAGGAACATGTTCAGCTCACATTTCACCACAAAATCAAAAGAAAGAAGTATGAAATTATATTTTGCATAAAGAAAAGTAAGCTTATTTTTAGCACCATTAATATTTGTTGAATTGTCACATTAATTGCATATCAATTAAGCACATTTTTTTAATAAAGGAGAAACACCAAATTAATGGTGTCAGTGAATTTGAGAAAAAAAACGTAAAAATATGCATCATTTTCTTTAAGTAATTAAATCCTTTTCTGATTTTGGAGCGACATATAAAACAGACACATTATAGTGAGATTTACCCATGAAGGAGACAATATACGGCATCTGAAATTAGCTTTGAGAGCTTTTTGTGGCTTTCAGATGCAAGATGAATGCAAACGTAAAAGAAAAACATTCTCCTGATAAACAGCATCAACATCATCTCGGTTCGGTATACTTAGCAATCAGGGCTTGACGCCGCTCTTAGCGTAACGTGCAACTTATTCCATCTGATTGCTGGTGCTAATTGAACACGAGGCTCGGAAAGCGCTGGAACTCTAGACCGTTCTTTGTGACAGCTCGATACACTTAAATGTGATTACGGCGCAGATTTGGCCTCTTAATCAAATCTTTGTTTCACAACTGCCTCTCATGTGATTACAGTAAGATGCCACGATAGTGTCTATGAACACTTCCTCTTGCTGCAGTGATAGAAAAGCTATGTGAGTTTGAAGCTCTCCAAAATAGGTGTTTTGTGGTTTTTAGTCCACACATATTAGATTTGAGGCTAATTTGTGTGCTAGTGTACACTTAAATGTTATTTTGTGTAATTTGCATAATAACTTTCAGAAATGAAAACACCGATTTAGTCCCTGGATGCAGGAAAGCAAAATTATTTGCAAAATTGAGATGCACTACTAAAGATCATATCATCATATAAAGTAATTCAAATAAAAAAAAAGTAATTTGCACGATAGTTGACCTTAAAGAAAAAATTAAAACTGCAAATGCCTGCATTAGCACCCCCCCTGTGGCAACACTGAGAATGCAACACACTGTGTTACAAATATCTCCCACGATTCTGAACATGCAAATGCATCAAATCAAGCTTTTTCAAAGCATTTGTGGCCACAATCTTGCACAGAGTACGTTTCAGGTCTTTGGTTTTGAGTTTAAAAGGCTATAGAGAGAACTCTCACTCACCCAGGTTGATATGCAGGGCCAGTCGGCCCTTATGCAGCTCTAGGGTGATGTAATCACCTCTTTGTCCCTCTCCATGCACAAGGACCCCATCCCCGCGCTGGCTCTTAAACCGTAGAGAGATGACGTCTTTCACAGTGCTGGTGGACTTCTGATTAAACCGGTACAGCAAAGAGCTCCTGCCGTTGAAATCTGCAACATCCGACTCTAAGAAGTGGAAGGGGAAAAAAAATTCCCCATAAATATTAAACAAGAAAACATTTTTTTTTACCTATTCTTAAAGGGGGTCATATGATGCGATTTCAAGTTTTCCTTTCTCTTTGGAGTGTTACAAGCTGATTGTGCATAGATAAGATCCCTGAAGTTGCAAAGACTAAAGTCTCAAAACCCTCACATACTGTATCTACCTGGCTTGTTTTCCCAATCTTTTATAACACAAAAAAAGCAAAAACAAAGCAAAACATAACACAACAAAAAAGAGCAAAGCAAAACATAACATAACAAACATAACAAAACAAACACAAAGAACAAAAAAAAACAAAAACAAAAACAATATGAATCAAAACAACAAAACCTCACAAAGCACAATAAAACAAAAACAAAGCAAAAAACAAAAAGCAAAAAACAAAGCAAAGCAAAAGCAAAACTTCCCATTTCAGACATACACACAAACAGTTTACACCACGAAGTCACGGCCTTAAATTACAGTTAGCAGCAGAGGCGCTTGACAGATTTAAAACAAATTGACTTGAGGAGCATTTCAGCAGTGCATGAATAAGGCCAATGCACCACTTAGGACGCCCGGCTTATCCCACAGAAGACAAATATGAATGTAGGGAGACCATGCGCTATCCTGTACGTGTGCGCTTACTTTCTGTCTCTCTCTTTATTAAGTCTCAGACATGTTTGAATTAATTTTACCTCCTATTTGACACCACATTTTCTGTTTTCCCCCTTTCATATTTGTCCTCTGTATTTCTTCCCTGGAATTCAGGTTAGCAGACATGTTCATATGCCCTTTGTGCTAACATTGAAGCCATTGTATGTTCGGTACATACTAGCGCGAGGCTAATTATAAATGTAATTACCGAGCACTAATTCACTGCCTGATTCATTCACGGCTCCTTTGGAATGCAAGCGGCGCTAATGCTAATGCTAACCTGCCAGTGGTCTGACTTTGAGAAAGCGCTAGCGTCTCTGTTATCAAACCCTATTACTGAAATACTGTGTGGTCAGCACTCACTTATCATGTTTGATCAACACAGTAAACCGAGTCGCCCCCAGCGGTGTCACATTCCGCCCTATCTCACGAAATTAACGCTTAGAGAATAAACATGGCGGTGACAGGTCGCCGAGTCAAGCTTTGAATTGACAATCGGTGCGACTAGTGCACAGACTACAAATACAAAGCACCCGAGGAGAGACTGAGAGAAAGGAACAAGGAGAGAGTAGGGGAAGCAAAAAAAAAGAGAGAAAACGAGCACTAGCAAGGCTACGTTATAAATATTTCAAGCGCAAGGCATGTGGTGCTGGCTACCCTTGAGGTAACCGATTGATTGTTACTCTGCACTTTGATACCCAGGGAAGGCAGGTCTAAACCAACTCAACCCGACTGCAGTAAAGCAACATGACAGTGAACTAGCTACAGCTAAAAACAGACTAGCTGAACTTTTGAAACAACAGCTCCCAACTCCTAAAGATTTGAAGAAAATCTGCACTTTCTGCACTGGAAATATATTGCCGCTCATTTAGCTGGTTGGCTTGTACGATAAAACTAATGCAGAAATACCCTGGTTTTCCAAAGTGCTACCTAACTGAATATGAGCTTGCAGTTGGTAAACACGGAGATATTTTCAATTTTTTTTAGCATTGTATATTGTTGGCAGGTTTGGTTAGTTAGCATGTGCTGATAGACACAGTTACATCATTCTATTCACAATAAAATCAATATGATGGATTAAAAAAATAGATAGGACAAATATCCATTTCAATCAAGCTTTCATTGTGAATACATAAAGTACCAATTACACACCAAATGTACATTCAGTACTCACTGTATGCACAGCCGTAGACCTCCACTCTGAGCCCCATCCATCCCCCGGGACTCCAGTCCACTGGCAAGAACCGCAGAAACCGTGTTCTTATGGAGTGTGAGAGCTTGTGGTGAACAATCCCATCTGAATTTGTATTTCCACTGAACGTCTACAGGAGGAATAAAAAGTTAGCTTGCACAACAGTAACTTTCCAAGATTTGACCTTAGTATGTGCACTTCATGTGTTAATGAGTCAATATAATGTCGAACGAGGTTCTTCTGCTGGATGGAAGGCCTTTTTAGAGATGTAGCCACATTTCCCACCGTTTGGCGAATTTTCATGGACAAAAAACACTAATTTCAAAAGGGAATTGATGTGATGGGGAATTTTACATGAAGGGAGTTCAAGTTAATCACGCCAAATTTTTTGCTAATGTGACCACATATGAATGTGTTACTAGCTCTCCCACATCTATTAACATCTCGTGAGAGAGGTTTTCCTAAACTCTGAGATATTTTCAGGTTTATTTAGTGTCTAAGGTGCAGATGTTAGCTCTGTACATTGTTAGCACTCCTGTGTTAAGGTTTGGCTAGATAGCATGTGCTTGCAGACAATTACTTCATCATTCTGTTTCTTCATTGACTGCTGATAGCTGCTAATGAAGGTCACTTACAGAAGTGGAAAAACTGACATTGAAGTCACTGGGAATGTTAATGGTTAGCTTTCTGCAGGCACTTTAGTCAACATAGTCTCAATTAGCATATAGGTTTACCCCAAAGAAATTTCTAAATTCAGAGAGTTTATTATCTATACATAGAGCTGAACTTTTGCCAAGCTTCATTTACCTAAGATTGAAAAAACTAACACAAAAAGTTAGCGGGGTGCCGCTGGCAACGTTAGTTTCTTTAAGCTGCACTCAAAGCGTTGCTGCTAATCTAAACCTCCAGTTTTAGAATAGCTGGGGGTCCTACCTCCAGCTGTAGAGCCTACCAGAAAAATGGCATGACCAGGAGGCACCTACTGTTCTTTAAAAATGTTCCACATCTTTTAATCTTCTACTCATTAAAATGCTTCACACCTTCAAAGACTTCCATTAAACTCTGTTCTCAAACTAATCAGCACCTTTTTTTCCTCTTGCTGGTTGGAAGATAAAAGAACCAAACATTAAACCATCATCGAACAAAAAAATTTAATAAAAATAAAGTTGTAATGAGATGAATTATCCGCAGAAAACGTATACACTACCTCCACCTCCTACGGCTCTCTGTGTTTGTTTAGCTTCGATGATTACAAGCAGGAATCCAAGCTTTCATAATAAGAGACGACAGAGATGGCAAGTAAGATCTCAGGAATGTTTTGCCCCAGATCTCTTCAAGCCGGGCTAAATAAGAACGCCGGGGAATGATGGAGCTTTGAAATGACTAGTATTGATTCAGAAGAGGAGGGTGAAGCCCATTTGTTTGCCTGTAAGTGTGGAGGCAATGCAACCGCTGTCTCTTGTGGCGCAAGGGCCTTGACAATCGATTCCAAAGTTGTCAAAATACAACTATCAAAAAAAAAAAAAAAAAACGTAATTCAGGTTGGGTAGACAAGGATTTCAGCTGCACTGCCAGTGACCAGTGAGGTCAGGAGACCATGAAATAAGTTTTGTCAGGGATATAAAGCCACGTCACTCAAGATAGAAGGTGTATTTAATCTTAGTTTAGGCGATTAAGTGAAATTCAAGTTGATAATTAAAGTTTGAACGTTTTGTGGGTGGCTGGTTTTCGATGGGAAGTGTGTGCCGACAGTGTCTGACAGTGCATGGGAGGAAGCATTCATTTATCCTATAAATTATTTTGATTTAGTTAAAGACACAGACACTTAATGATTATGGGTGTCCATGCATATTATTCCAGTCATAAAAGCCCCCCTGATTCACATTATCCGGAAAGCTTTTACAGTACTTATTGCGAAGTACTAATGCATTATAAATATAATAAAAGATGGATTATTTATAAGAGTACTTGGAAAACTCACCCCTATGTTGTCCTCTTGTCTGAACTGCTTCCAAGCTCTTCCTGTGTCACTGTAAAGCAACATGTAACTCGTAACCCAATCAGGGCTCCCGAAACGACTCTGGGTCGCCACAGCTGTGACCTCGACCCGTTCTCGCAGATCCACCTGTAGCCATCGTAGCCTGTCTTTTCGTTCTGGAGCCCAGCCGCCACCTCCTAACACAAGAACAGAAGGGGTGAAGTCCAGGTACAAGCAACAAAAAGATACAACATCAATATTTTAAGCTATCAACCTGTGTTGAGTTTGCCAGGCTACAAGGTAATTTTCATTTTAAGGTTTTGTCACATTAGCAAAATTTCACAGGCAACACTGAAGCACTGCTCACACAGAAGTCACTTTCAAACCAGGCAACTTTGCATTGCTTAATGTGGCAAATCCCCTGACCAACTTGAACATGTTGCAAAATCTGCGGGGAAATCTTTCGCCATGTGCAAAATTTAAGATTGCTTAGATTCTGATTGAAAAGTCTGGATTTTTTGCGCAAAAATTCACTGAACAATGGCAATTGTGACCACACTTTTAACTAAATATTTATTTTACTATACACAAAAAAGTAAAATGATACACAATGGCTTTTGGACACTATTGAGTGATGATTTGTGAATATATTTGAATTGATTCACTTATGACTTCTTGAATTCTTTCAGACTACACCATGAATATCGGCAAGTGGAAATTATGGGATAATGCAATAATGATTCCAAATATTCCAATTAAATGATTTGCCAAAAATGACTCTAATTTCCAAAGTATCTTGACAAAAAGAAACCTAACATGTTTTAATCTTACACCAGCTAAATAGTGCACAGCACAATGCTACAAAGCAATGTAACATTCTGTCAAGCTATAATGCTATTTATAACAAAAGCTAGCATGCTAATGATAAAACAACTATTTTGGGAACAGACAGTTATGCTAGTGAAAAATGATAAATTGGTAGCATTGCTACTTTTGGCTAGCTTCTGCACAACACTGTAGTTAAATAAGAAACATTCCTTCATTAACAAATGACAAACTTTTAATTAAAGGCAGAAAAGGTATTTGAAACATTTAGCAGCCAGCCAAGCCTCAACTTCAGACAAGCCTGCCAAGTGAGCTTCTTTTAAGCCTGTCTGTTCACACTAATTAGCTCAGTAAATCTAACTTACATTGGCCCTGTATCTATTAAAAAGCTGTGCAAATAGACAGCAAACCCAGCGCTAGTCAGAGCACAAGGAACTGCTCTACAAACACAATCATACTGAGCCAAAGAGGTGAATGTCACACTGCCCCTGTTGCTGTCAGGCAGTAATTCACTGACTGGTCTGCTTTTGACCTGTAAGTCAACTGAATTTCAGTCGAATCGACTCTAAAAGGCTGAGTAATGTTTGCTGATACTCTATCACAAGTCGTACTGGGTATTTATCCCTGCTGTGCCAAATCAGATGACAGAATTTCATTTTATGAATGCACTGGGCTACTGAACGGACTCCAGCATGAGCTAGACCAATGCTGTAAAATGTATTTTCATGGTCTTGCCATGTTTTTGGACATACAAATAGTGTCCAATACCTTAAGGCAGTGGTTCTCAAACCTGTCCTGGAGTACCCCCAGCCCTGCACATTTTGTATGTCTCCCTCATCTATCACACCTCATTCAACTCATCAGCTCATTAGTGGAGACTGCAAGACCTGAAGTGGATGTGTCAGATATAGGGAGACATACAAAATGTGCAGTGCTGGGGGTACTTCATGGAAAGGTTTGAAAACCACTGCCTTAAGGTATTGGACACTATTTGTATGTCCAAAAAGATATAAGCATTCAAGGCTTGCAGTTCGTTACTTCCGCCAAAATGGCTCAACGATTTTTTTGACGTCACATCGTACTTCAGCTTCTCATCAAACTTTCTGTCCAATCAAATACTCTCTAGAATCCGAAGCGCCCGCCCCCTACACTATAAAATAGATGCTGAAGCTGCAGCTGAAATCGGTCACTTGTCCACAGAATTAGAATTTTCTGTACAGTGAATGGCACGTAGTGCACTATATAGGGGACAGGGAACGATTCAAACAGTGTAAATATGCTTTCCATTGAGGAAAAAAAGAAGTCTGGTTTCGTGCTGTGTCACGCTAACCACCGCACCGCACACACACTCTGCTGTGGATCACATGCGCGAGTCGGCGCAGACCACAAAATGTATCGGAGCTATTTGAACTCTACACAGAATGCTATATTTTATAGCAATATGGATGAGATTGTGGCTGGCATACCCTGTCAAATGCGGCTTTACGGAGCTCAGCGGCTCTGAACGGCTCTAGCCCAAGCTGTGATATAAACGAACGCTATTGGCTATTTTAAAAAGGGGCAGGCTGCTTGACATGTCCTGCCCTGTTTTCCTGTTTCAGTTAAAATGACATCAACACAGAGTAAAGTTGCGTGTTTCTAAGCATTTCAGGGGACCTTTAAGGAACCATGTAAATATCATGGTACATATCGGTGCCATAAGTTACATCAAAATTACCAAGGTATTAGCAACAGATCCCATCACTGTACAATTTTGCTAAGGAATAGGGATGTAACGATTCACTCCCAGCCGGTGGAAAATCGATACAAATGCATGACGATTCAAGTTGGTTGAAATGTTAAACGAATTGCAATTCAGCTGGGAGAGAGGGTTTATGTGATTGTATCTCTGATGGGAACTGACTGTCTTTAGAAAATTTTAGATGATATTTTCTTTTCATCTCGCCTCAGTATAATGCATATGAAAGTATGCAGTTCATCTGCTGTTTTTGTTTCGTTCAGATGTTTTATGTAGTATAATCTTACAAAGCTAAAGACAGACCATTCTGTTTTAGCTTCACATTTCGAAATTTTACAATCTAATTTAAATTAAAAAACTGCTCATGCTGCATGTATGCAGTATCTTTATTTGGATTGTGATTAAAATGTAGTGGTTGCCTCTAAATTTAAATGGAAAGAGCACAAGCAAAGCCTTAGTTTGTTTATATGAAGCTATTTCTTTTATTTGTATTATTTGATTTGGGATTTGTTTTAAAATTTTAATTTAGTTTTGTTATTTGGCATATTTCAATTTCACAAAGAAATGTGCAGCATTTTGCTTGAGAAATAATAAAAGGACACCTTTTGATTTATAATTTGTCTTAAATCTCATTTTGTTAAAAATTGTGAGAAAATCGTATCGTGAAATCAGTATTGTGAATCGTATTGCATCGCGAGTTGGGTGAATCGTTACATCCCTACTAATGAAAGTATTTATATAGAAATACTTAGCTAACAACCACACATTTTCAACATTTTCACATTTTATACTGGGATTACTCACCATCTTTTCTGTTGAGCTTGGCAAAATATGGCGACTGACTGTCAGAGGAAGATGAGGAGCCCTGGAATGATGAGGGAGGAAGAGCAGAAACCAGTGGCCCATTGCAGTGATCTAGAAGAGTAGGAAAAACAGATTAGCCGATCAGATTTGACATAAAAGGTTTGTGAATGACTCCATTCTGGTTTAGAACACCCACTATTCATAAACCAATCAGCTCCCAATGGATGATGGATCAAGTCCTCTCCCTTGTACTTTTCTCATTTTCCCCTTTACCCCTACAGACATAAATCGGCTTGCGAATGTTTCAAAGTTAGTGATTGTGATTGTTAACACCCTCAACCATGGCTGAAGATACCAGTTTATGGACCAGAAGAAACCAGTCTGTGGTACTCACAGGGTAAACTTCATTAATCCAGTAAAAAAAAAAATCCACTCCTCAAGTTAATGTGCTGAGCAAGATAATGACGAGAAAGAATGAGCAGAAAGGAGAGAGAGAAATCTGACAACAGCTCTCATTTCATCATTTCAATGTTTGAGAAAGCCGCACCAATTTCTCATCTAATTAACCTTTCATACACTTTCTGAATGAGCCAGACATCAAATAGCTTCACTCACAGAATTTCAAATGTATTCCAGACTAGGCAAAAGGTGCGACAGGGGGATGAGAGGGAGAAAAGGAGAGACAAAGAGATGGGTAAGGTCGTAGGAAGGATAGAGAGCGGTAGCCACATCTCCTTCTTACAACGGCTTTGAGACATCGGAGATACCTGAGCTAAAATGAAATGTCCTCTGCTGGTTCAATGGTATATTTACTTTGGGAAAAATCCCTTATAAACAGGCAACCTCTGAAGCAGTTTTCCTCCAGATGAAGCCATTTAAAAACCCGCCCCATGATGCATTTTTCAACAGGGAGTCTCTCTCGCTCTCCTCTGCAAGCGTGTAAAGTGGGCAAATTAAGCAAGTGATGTTTCTCAAACTCATAAATATGAATGAAGGGAATGACTGACACGGGCTTCCGCTTCTACTTGCGGTGACAGTCGTGAGGAGGAGATTGGCAGCATTGCGTCCACCAGTGGAAAGAGACCCGATTACATTTTTCATTGAGCAGAATGGATGTGAAAATGACCTAGTGGCTGCAAAGCACCTGGTGCTCTGATGGTATAAGAGATGGGAATCGATACAGCACGACCATAAACCAGCAGCTTCATTTCTTGAGGGCACTCTGATGGAGCGTTTGATGGACAGGAATGTGTACAACTCTTTTGAGGGTGTGGAAAGAACCGTGTCCATTTGAAATCACACAGGATTTCTGAATACACTGCAGGATCCTACTCTGGTCAATGCTGCAGCAAACTTTGAAATGCTCTTAACTTTCCGTCGATGCCAGATTGTCATTTTCAAAAAGTTTTTCCTTCTACAACCCTGTGATATGCCATCCCCTTTGAAACAACCGATTAATTACTTTTATGAAACTACAAATTTGTTTGTTGAAGGGATAGTTCACCCCAAAATTGAAATGACCCCACGAGCCATCCTAGGTGTACTGTATATTACTTTCTTCTTTCAGACGAATACAATCGGAGTTATATTAAAAAATGTCCTGGCTCTTCCAAGCTTTATAACTATCCCTTTGATCTCGTCTATTACAGCAACTTTTGGTTGCATGACAGAATACTACTTTCGCTGACCCTTGCTTTGTCTTCATCTTTGCAAGGCACAATGCAATTTGAAGCCAATCGATCCACAGCCTTCCTTATGTAAAAAGCAAAAGTGCACTAACTCTGTGGGTATCCACAAATGTTATTCTGCAACTGGAATATTTGGACCTTTAGGTCTTTATTTGGCTGAAGAGGTCGAGGTTAAAAACCACTGCAGTTGCTCAATTAAATTTATGGATACCTGGAGAGGTTTTCAGAGAACGATGTGGATCCATTAGTTCCAAAGCGCATTGTGCATCACAGAGACGTAGGAGGAGGAAGGGTCTATCAAAGTGATGCTACATCAGGCAACAAAAGTTGCTGCAACATACTCAGCATTGAGTGTCCTTTACCTATCTTGGGTTGGAAATGCAGAATTTCACAAATATATCCATGACTACATAAGACACTACATGGGAAAGACAGGAACCAACATCTCTCATATGAAGACCATTCAATGTTTTGAGCATGTATGCTAACCTCTAGGCCATGGCCCAAAGTTCTTACAGAATACCCTTAAAGTCCAAATAATGAGTAGTTTCATATCACCTACTTTTTATGCTTCAGAAGATCCCCAGAGGGGGGAAATATTGCTAAAATGTTGGCTCTTTTTTTTAAACATTGAAGACATAAATAAAGGAGTTGTCAGTCATGCATCAACATTTCTCCTAGAAGACAAAAAGCGATCACATATGAGATAATTGTCTTCAGAAACCTTTCAAAATGAGAAATGCTTGAGGTCATATTGAGATCCCCAAATTTTGGTTGCTTAAACTATGCTTGGATTTGCCAAGACACCAAAAACAAACCTGAGCATAGTTTGAGACATTGATGAGATCTTTTTCTTGAGAGCAAATCTGGGGGGCAAGAGACTTAAAAGTCTCCTTTACTCTTCATTTAATTTAGTTTCTGTTCAGGAGAAACAATTGAGAAGTTAACGAAGAGTGATTTTTCCTTTTTTTATGGGTTTACAAAGAGTTAAGTCAAGAATGTAATGTTTTAACTTCTGCCAATCACCAGAATGCCAAAAATAATTTATTCTAATCAAATACAATGACCTGATTGCTGCATACATAATTGGTTAATCATGCTAATATTAATCTCAGCTTAGCTTATTAATTAGTGGAAATGAAGTATACTCATGTATGCATGTAATTAATCAAATTGTTTAATGAATCAAGAACAGTGCTCACTTTTTTTTAATAACAATTCATGACAAGAGCGAAAGCCATGGGATGTTAGCGCACACACAGGACTGCGTGTTGAATGGTAAAAACATTGTTTTTCCTCCATTTGACAAAAACACTACGCGTAATTGTTTCTACCGGGATCAGACGGATGCTCGGCATGAATGCGAAGACGGGTTGGAAGGGTGGGGGAGATTAAATGTGTATGTTTACCTTGGAAATTCTCCTAGTCAGCCCTCCCAGATCTACTGACATATGCATGCTGCGAAATTAATGTTTATGGGAGGAAAACAACTCAGCAGCACTGGTATTAGCTTAAGGATAGGTCGCCTAATTCGCCGTTTAGACAGTCGGACGGCGTAAAACATTAGCATTGTAACAAAGAGTCGGTTGTTATTTAGAAACGTTTACAGAAGCAAGCTCTCAGAATCATATAAAACATCCATTTGGCATTACTAACTCAATTCTCTACTGTTCGCTACTCCTTGGAGTGTTTAAGACTCAAAGCTTTTAAGCAAATGTGGTTTGGAAAAACATGTATGAGGCTATTAACGGACACAAGAATCCAAGAAATAGCATTTCTGAGCCAAGGTTTTTTTTCCCTCCTCCTGAGCAGTATTCTTACGCTTTATTAGACGTAAAAGCAGCCCGGTGCAAACCCAGCACGACAGTCCATTTTTCCTGACCCCAGCTGTGCTTTTAAGAGTCTGCACCTTTAATGGAATCACTGGATGTCCCAGTGCATCTGCGCTGTGACAGAACATGTGATTTCTAATGCAGTTTTAAAGAAGCTTTTCCCACATTGAATTGAGTCCGGTGCCTCCAACAAACTTTTCCAAAGGAGGCATAAAGAGAGAGAGGCAGATGGGGTGGTTAGATGGAACCAGAACATGCAGAATGCCTAGACATCTGTGAATGGACACCTACATCCTGCAGAAAGTGTGAAGCGCTCATTTAAATCCTGTTGCAGAGTTTGCACGGTCCCGAAGTATCCCAGGTCTCTTTGTACACCGAACACAATCCGTCCTCTGTGGATTAAAGCTTTCTATTCCAAATACCAAAACTTGTATTCAGACACTAGTTAGTAAGCTGAAGTCTTCAACATTCAAAAGATGACAAGTGTGCAAAGTTAGGGGCATTTTTATGTTTACAATCTTAACAATAAGGGCTCGTGGTCTAGGCCAGATGTCAGACAGCAAATGAGTTCAATTAAGTACAATGAAATAAAAAAATAAAATAAAACCATATAGACATTTAATCTAACTCCATATTCAAGTAGAATTCTTATCAAATTAGCTATACATTTTAAACAACAAAATGAAAACTAATAAAGGTTACTGAAAAATGAATAAAACTAAATAAACATTTAATATAGCTCCATATTCAAGTAGAATTCTTATCAAATTAGCTATGCTTTTTAAAATTAAATTACAACAAAATGAAAACTAATAAAGGTTACTTGAAAATAAAATAAACAGTTAATCAGACTCCATATTCATGTAAAATATTCCCCTTTTCATTTCATTAGCTATACTCTTTGAAATTCGATTAAAAACAAAATTAAAACTAATAACTGTTACTAAACAATAATACACGAATACAAAAAAATTTTATAAAAAATTTAAATACAGCTCTATATGCAAACAGAATAACACCCTTTTCAGTTAGCTATATACTCCTATTAAATATTAATAAATAAATAAATATACAAATTTCAAGTTTGTAACCTTAATATAGCAAGATACAATGTCACCAATTCATACACTGAGAAACTGCATAACCTCAAGAAACCCGAAAAAGCCACAATTTGAGAAGCATCTACAACAATTGTTTAATTTATCTCCAGAGCACCATATAGCCAACTCAAAACCCACATCCAGTGGAAAATTGTCTCTAAAATGATCATTCTAATACCCCTCTTCTTGCTATCTGATGATGAATTATCATTCTCAACACGTTTCAGTAGTTTAAGAATTGTGGATCATTCCTGAGCCTCGTGAGAGTGGTTTAATCTTGCATGTGAAGATAAAACCAAGACCAACATCTGTGTAGATTAAACAGTAAGAGGATTCTGCCTTGTTTGTGCCATTTTAATGGCTCTAAAGAAACCAGGAAATATATAATTGGTTAACTGTTAATAACAAAACTAATACAGTATTATTTTTAAATATGTCTAAATAGTTTAGCATTATTTTAATAACAACAACAAAACAACAATAATTTAGCA